TCCTTCTGCAGAAGACAGCAGAGAGAATCGACCCTTGACATGAGTGACTTTTCATCAGAAGCTGCTGTAGCCTGATTGTCATTAAGCAGATATTGTGATATGTTCTCCAGCATTTCTTGGTACTCTGGTCCTTCACCATTAAAGGATGGATTCCCAGATGTAATTTGTTCTGAGAGGCAATGTTCAATGTGGCCAATTAAATCACTCAATGATATAGAAGGGCGGAGTCCAGGTACTTTTATCTGATTCCAATTTCTTGGGATCTTGGAGTCAGTTTCAGAACTTGTCAAACTCCCTTCAATTGTACGACAGTCCATAACTTGTACATAAAAGACAAAAAAAGAAACAAAAAGGTTAATGTAATTATGTAAAGCACACCACATTAAGATACAAGTCAGCTTTAGATATCTAACAACAACAACCCAGATTAATAAATAAGCTATAGAAATGACAAGTTACTCAAAGTTCATTATGAAGTCATGTACACATTACATGTACATAATGTGTATTGGTGACATCCACATCATATCCATGGGAAGTACTCTTAAAGCTAAATTTTCATTTTGTAAGATAAAAAACATACGAAGCTCCACGTTTGGAATGGAAAACTTACAGCACAGAATGTGGTGTGCTCAATGCCCAAATATCATTTGACAAATACAAAAAAAGGCTTTCATCCGGCTTTCAACACTGATATTGATATGAGAGCCATCATTGATTTTTATTATCATACCCATATCTGAATCTGACAAATGTTGGACACATGTCTTTTCATAATCATGTTATTTCATTATATTTGATTGAAGTGTCTAAAGTACAGAGTTTTCTCAGTGTTTGTCACAAGTATTTTCATGTCTGCCAATAGAATATGATCCTAAGATGACATATTGTAAGCATTAAAGACATATATGACCCCCCCCCCCCCCCCCCCCCCCCCCCCCCCCCCCCCCCCTCACACACACACGTGGGGAAGAGGGGAGAAGCAAACTGATCAATGAAACAAAAGGGCCAGTGGATAGGGAAATCAAAACAAGAATGAAATTCATATAATACCTGAACTAGGGGAAGGTGCTTCACGGGGCAAACCATCCAATGAAATGCTAGGAAGATCATTGTGCTCAATTGTAAATGATGGGGATAGGGACGAATGAGGTGATCCCATGCCCTGAAAACAAGATATGACAGATCCTTTACCATTGTCTTGATGCAAGTCATAATCTTTCAGATTGTCAACACAAGGCTGTGCATCAAAATGAGGAGAATCCAAAATTATATTTGGCTGTCGGCTTAAGTAATTAAGACGCTCATCATACTGGATAAGCTTTTCAAAATGCTTGGTCATCACCCCTTGAGAACATTGCAAAATATGCATCCTACAAAACAACAAGATAGAATTTCAGACATCACATCCTATTGGCTAGAAACATTTAGTACCAACCCAATACTAATTAAAACTGACAAATTTAACAGGATAAACCTTTTACAATAAAAACCACTATTGGCTAGAAATATTTTTAAAATGTGCATAAAAGAGTCCTCTGAGGTCAACAAGTATCGCACCGATGCAACTTAGCATCTCATCCTCAATTATTTCAACGAGTTCTCTTGCTCTTATTTGAGTGCTCTCACATGTCAAATTGGAGAACAGTCTTTAAACATTTTAGAAAGGTTATATTGAATGCTGGTTATCCTGCCCGGCTTAAGATTAATAATGGAATGATATTTTACAATCCATACCGAATTACTAATGCATAACGGTTGAGCCCACAACCACATGATATACCTGTGTTTGCTAGCCTGTCCATCAGTAAAATCTGCTGTTGCCTGCCACAGTGTATGCTTTCTAGGCTGAGGATTAGTCTCCCTGAAGAAAAGAGGGTGTCTAGCAAGCTGCAATACACAGAAACTCACAAATTCTTATCTGTTAACACATGTTCACATATTAAGGTAGTTAATGCCTAACATTCAAAGGATAATAGGGGAATAAATTACCACTACAGTCAACGAGCTAGGACCGTTGTCAGGACAGTTTGCTTTAAGCGCTGTGATATCTGACCACTGGATTTCTATTTTACTCTTAAGTGCACCTTCAAGAACTTCCCAAACAAGCTTGTGTTTAGCAAAGTAACACTTTGCTACTAAGTCACCCTCATGTATTGATTTATACTGCCATAAAGAGAACAGTGAGTTAAGATAAGTTCATTAAAACATAAATTTCCAAAAAATAATAGTGCCACGTAGTATCTTGAATGTACCTCCCACGAACCAATTCTTAAAGATGAAGCTGGGAAATTTGAAGCCTTAAGCTTGTCAAAACGACTTGATACAGTAGCATCTCCCCGGCTCTCCTTTTTAACTCCAGAGCTTGAATTTTCATTTTGTGTATTTGCAAGAAGAGTATTACCATGAGAAAGCTTCATCTGTATCAAATCTAAAAGCGAAGGACTTTTCCTCAGACGCAAACCCAAAGGGCTAGGCTCATCAAGTATATCGAATTGGGAGGAAGCATTCCCTTCCTAATTGTTTCACAAAAACCATATAAAGATTGCCAATCTCAGCCAGCTAGAATTAGATTATAGAAGATATGTAGAGACCATATAAAAGAGTAGGAGTAATATTTACATGCCGTACACTAGCACATATATTTATAAAACAAGCATACACTTTTTGTCATCATGGTTACTAGGACTAAATACATTCCAGAACCTTCAAATACTTGCTAAAATGAAAAGGAGATAGTGAATGCAGACGATGAGGTTAATGACACATTGCCAATTATGATGAAATTTGAAAGTTAGTTGAGAAAATCACTTTAAACAGGACTACAAAAACGTGATTATTTTAAGCAATTTTTGTTTAAAAACTACAAAATCCAAAACGACAAATAATTATCAGAGTTATTAACTTGAGGTCAATTTCAACCTCCACCCCCTCCCCCAAACAAAAATTCCCTCTGAAACGAGACATTAATTATCACACGGAGTTAAGATCACAAATGAACATACCATCCTTTCATTATTTCATTACCATTGAAAATTCATTCAAGTTCTTCCATACTTAAACACAAAAAGTAACTCGAGTCTCCTAAGCTCAATAGTGAACACGTACTATATACAATAATGCATAACTAAATAAAACTGGCTACAATTTCAGAACACCAAAAAACCTTCAAAAAGGGAAAAAAAGAATGGTGATTCGAAACCTGTTGCGAAGGCTTGAAGCGTTTATTGAGAGGTCCGTGTTGTTCTTCTAGAGGATCCTCGATCTCCAACTTCACGGGTACTTTGTCACGAGACGGCGGTGCCATTAGCAGAATAATCGATAAAATAATCCTGAAATGGTAAAATAAAAATAATGGAGAGAGAATAGAACTCTTGAAGGAACCGGAATCGAGAAGATCGGAGATTCCGCAACCCTAGAAGAAGAAGAAGAAGAAGAAGAACCCGAAGATGGAGGAGGAAGAGTAAGACAAATATTTTGAGATGAGAGAGAGAGAGACTATAAAGCGCGTACACGTGAGAACCTGATTCGGATGATTTCTTAGTTTACTAAAATGACCTTAGCCTTACCACTTGTGAGGTAGAAATCGTTAAATGAATATGGCTTAAAGTAGGTTAGTTGTGTCATTTCGAGTATGTGTCAGAAGGTATGCTGGCAGTAGACACGTGTGAATTTCATGGATAAGGTGTGGGAGAAGACGGCAGCGATGTCTGGTTTGCAACGTGACTCAGATCGCACCACCAAAGCAGTGTTGTTTTAATTAAAAAACCAAATAAATAAATAATAATGACAATAACATGCTAATGTTAAAATTCCCAAAAATTAAAATATTACTTAGAACTCAGAACATTTCCAATGTTACCATATTAAATTCGCACCAAAATAATAATAAAAACTACCTTTATAATATGCCAAATTAATCAGAATAGGATGTGAAGTTATAGCATGCTTTGGGCATCGAAATTAGATAAATCCAAAACAATTGGTGTGAAACGACCCAATTTCTTAGCATGTGATTATTTATTTTTTAAATTGTCTTCTCAATTTAGGAAACTAACAAAATTGAATTGTGTAAGTTTAGAAAATAACAAATATGTTTGATATTTATAGTGTGTGACTTGAACTTTCAACCTCTTTATTAATATAATTTTTAAATCATTGATGCTATCATTGAGCTCTTGTAATACTTTCCATGTCTTCCAACTTCAAAACTCTACCATTGAGCTATTCTTATAGTACTCGTCTTTCCACTTGGTCTTCAGTTCAATTCCCTGTATTGAAAAACACCACGAACACCAACTCACTCAAACTCGGTTGGTCTAAGTAGCATTTAGAGTGTAGATACATTATCCAACCAAGCAAGGAAACTGCAGCAGCATAACTGGTCTCACATGAAAGAGTCAGACACTTTACTCATCTGCTTTATTATCACCAAAAGACTGAATACTCTATTGGGTTTCAAATTATTGTATGGGCCCCCAATACCTCACTTTGAGCAGAGGGTAATAAAAAGTAACCCAAACTCCTACTATTTTTTTGCCCTTCCTTCCTTAAAACATTTATTTAAAATCATAAGATTATGCACTAACCGAAAACAATTATGCTCATATTTGAATGCATCTTGCTTTTAGAGAGTCATATCAACATTTTTCTATACATCTTATGCAATCCAACATTTTAAATCAACTACAAATTTTCACCATAAATTAAATCAATTAATTGATGAGATTGTTTTCAATTAGTTAAATATCTAGTTTTGAAAATGCAAGGATTAAATACACGTTTGGAAGAGATTACCTTTTTATGATGTTATCTGTCTCTTACCTGATTACTGACTGTGTTGTGGTGCTAGAATACTATACTAAGGAAAAAACTTATATAGCCAATATTGAATAGACAAGTTGTAATTTATATGTATATATTTAAGCATAACAATATCATATTATTATATCTAGGAGGATAATATTGTCATATCTTCTTGACTTTTGTTTTTTGATGTACCATCTTCTCTCATGTCATACCCTTCCAAACAACCAACCATTAATTTTCCTCCTAAATTTACTACTAGTACTAAGAAGTCACATTATGTTTTGACAGAAAATGCGCAGAGACTACAACTTGTAGTTTCTTCCACTACACATTAACCTTTTTCATATCTTTACCCAACCAATATCACCCCTTCAAAGTAAAGAAGAAGAAAAAGTAGAACATGCATCACCCTTCTCTCTCTAGTCTCTACGTTTGAGTTTTATTATTCATATTCATTTTCACCATTATGTACCCACCCCACTATCTATTATTCTTTACAGTTATTCTTCAACTGTATAAACTGTCGCAACCTTTATTTTGTGTAGCTTATTTTATATGATGGTACTACCATTGTTGGCAGCAGCTGAAGAAGAAAAGGAGGTAGAATCACATCAAAAGCAAAATATGGTGAAGCCTATGGCTGCAACAAGAGGCTATGGAATGAAAGAATGGTGGGTGTTTGACATGAGAATCCCCATGAAGCAAAAGGGTTTCATTAGAATAGGGTAGTTCATGGTTGTGCTAGAAATTATGTTCCTCAACTTCTATAGTTTTCAGTGACTATGCTATTGATCTTGTTGTTCTTCCTCTCCTGGTTATGATGCTGGTGATTGGTGATATTGGCTAGACGGCTCAATCTGTTAGCTTAGTGATAGAAGCATTATTATTATTATTATTATCTGTTCTTTTATTTCTTTTGTTAATCAATTTAATATTCAAGGAGTGGATATTGAAAATTTGTCACAGTCATAGGTTTGAATATTATTTGTTTTTATTATGTTTGTTTGCTGGTTGATTATTGGAATTGGTATTTATTTTTGTTTTGCTTTTTTTCTGCATCTTTAATTGTGAAGGCCGTGTTCCTGGGAAAGCAAATGAAGGAAGGGGACATTTCTTCATTTCAGCTTTGGGTTTCTACATTTTGCAGTAAACGGTGATGCATCTAATCCTGTAGGATTTCGGTCAGTGATGCTTTAAATTTTGGGGGACCCTTGAGGTAAAGACCACAGTGCCTTCACCATCCCAACACTGTTTTATTACCGTTTCAAATTTAATGTCAGTCTTTGCTTTTGTTTCTTTTACAAAATGTATTCATTTTTCTTGGGTAATGTGAGGCTTTGTCATATTAATAAGGAGAGTTGAAAAATAAATCCCTTTTAAATGCTAAGTATGGACTCTAGTTAGCAACATTCCTAAAATATTACTGGAAAGGATATGATTACCCATTTACCCATAATTACTATAAATGATTGTTTTCAAATGTTCTGAACTTAATTACATCTATTTATATTTATACTCCAATTTTCACTGACATAATTTTTGCTATCTGATTATATCCATGTAGCTAATTTTGTTTATCTTTTATGACTGCCCTTTGAATCTGCCTTATAAAGTGATCTGTATCAAGCAAATTTCATATACCTCCACTCCCTCCTTAATGATTTGTAGTAGTTCAATGCTATTTCGGCTCTTACATGTTGTGGTTTTATGGAGTATTATGTTATCCAATCAATGTTGTGGGTGAGGCAACAGATCCAAAGTTACAAACTGTACAAGTAATCCAGGGAACCCTATGTTTTAGCACAATCATAGAGCAATTTTTTTCTTGTATAGCGAAGAAGTAACCAAGAAAACAAACACAGACACAGACAAAGAGTATGGTTGAAGGAATAAAGGGAAAAAAACAAATAAGTAAAAACGAAAGATGATTCTTCCTCGGAAGGTGAGTTGTTTTCATGATGCATGTAAGAAATTCGTTAATCCTTCTGACTAATTTGAATTAAGAAAGCTAACTAGCAACTAGTACATTATCAACATTTTCAGCTAAAGGAAGATGGTAGAGACCTTAATTCATTTGTGCCTATCTTTTCTTGGCAGCTGCAACCCATGAGGTTTACATCTGGGATTTTTATCCCAGCATGTCTACCACTATGTAGCTATTATTTCTCATTAGTTGGAAACATAAAACACGAATTTAATATATATTAATTTTCTCAATGAAAATGAAATGACACATTAAGTGATACAAATCTTTCTAACAAAAGTTTTTATATATGTTAATCCAATGGTGCAAAAGTGATCAATTTATTTGTAACTAAATTCTGATTTCTTATTGAAGTTTGCAATGGATCGTTAGGGGCTCTTGTCAATGCCCCACAAACCATATGGAAATTTGGAACCTCTTGAAGCACATTAAATAGAGAACTAGCGGACAAGGTAACTAAAAATTTATATGTTAACTTAAAAGCCTACAGGTAATAAATTTATTCATTGAACAATTATTATTTATGAGAAAAATATGTATATTTTGATAATATATAAGAGTTTTTTTTCACTTATATTCCATAATCAATTGTTCATATTTAAATATAAATAATACAAATGAGTGATATATTAATTATGTATAAAATTTTAGACTCATATTATATAGATATTACATTCAATATTTAGTATGATTAACCAATAAACTAATTGATATATATCAAATGACATACGGTCATAGCTTGTAAGTCATAAAAAATCTAAGATATACTTATAAGCTCATGACTCAGTAAAATAAGTTATTTCATCATAAATCATTAAATAACTTATTACTTTTTTATCGAATAAAATAGTTGCTAACTTATGAACTACTTTACAGTGTTGTTGACACATTCTTTATATGTGGCTATGATCAAACCAGTTCATGCATGACATAGGAATAAGACCTATCAGTGTAACACCACTTAGCCAAATTGATGGCACAACTGAAAACAAGTGGATGAAGCACCACTATGCTGGAAATGAGGTTCTTTATGCTCTAAAAAAGAGAATCATGGATGAGGATGTAACAATTCTACAGCATAAAATATTCTAATTTGACAGGCATATAATATGTGCGTGCCACTATTATGGTATCATGGAGCAAGAAGATAAATCACATCCGAAACAAATGGGGTTAGTGTTTTAAGATCATCAGGATCTTTAAATGCTATCTAAAATAAATACCCATTTGGGTATTCAAAATATGCAAATTTTATAATACAGAGACTAGACATGAATAACTCGGATCATTGGTGAATTTCAGACAACCTCATCATGAGTTACTAGGATCAAGATATATTCGATGAGGACTAATCACATCAACTTTTACAATAAACTATATATCAAGACCAACCATTAAATTGTATTATATTAATATAGCTGATACTTAAGAAGTCAATTTGATTATTTTTTGGTTCAATACCAATCAACCGAGTTTTAGGGATAAAATGATGCAGAAGTTTGGCCCATCCCAGGTCATTGATTTTTGTTGGCCCATAAATGGATACAATAATGCAATGCAAAGGCAAGAGAAGAAGGAAGATATGGAGTTGTAATATTGATCCACCACCACACCACACCACCAACTAAAATAATAAAAAGCTGAGAAAAGGGTCATATGGTCATGGCACGGTTGGGTCACCTTTTGCTTTTCCCAATTCAAAGTGTTTTGGTAATAAAGATTTTGAAGCAAAAACAGACATGCCATTGTGTGGAAGGTAAAGGAAATCAAATTCCAATACCAACAGCGTGAAATGTAAGAATCAACGCTCTCCAATGAGGATTTTGTGTCTGTTGGAGTTGGGATTCCCACGTTACCCTTTATCACTTTCACAATATATCACTAATGCACCCCCACTAACTACTACTTATCCAAAATTAGTTATTTACAACTTCATTTTATAACTACTACCTATCAAAATACATTATAATTGATTTCATTTTTATTTGCTATTTTATAAAATTTAAAAAAAAGTTGAATAATAATTTAGAACACCCCTCTAAATTATGTTTACATATAGAATAGGTTGTTAGATAGATTCAATGGATAGACATATTGTTAGAAATGAAGTTTATATAGTTGAGTTTATGGATATTTAAATGTATAGAGTTGAAAGGACCCAACCAGCATCGATAGTAATGTTATAGCAGCGGGTGTTTGTGTGTGTCAAATCAAATTCCTCTCTATCACTATCACTATCACTATCAGAGTATCTCTCTATTTCATTCTCCTCTGCTCTTCCTTACTTTTCTTTTTCTCTCCCTTCCTTTCTTTTATTTATTTTTATATCCATTTTCTTTCTTTTTTGTGCAAAATGGTTCTGTAAAGTGAGTCACAGATTTTAAAGATAAGTGTGAACACAACATAAACATCCAAGCTAGTTTAAAAATAACAATTAACAATTAAAAACAAAACACAAAGCAAAAGCTGGTTTATGTGGCTTTGTACCAGAATTGCTTTTTAGCTTTTTTTTACGATGATTTGGTTCTCTTTGTGAAATACGTTCAAACTTGTTGTTTTTCATACTCATGGTCATGGCTCTCATCCTCTACCTTTTCTTCTTCCTCTCGCGTGTTGCTCTATGTTCATCTTCCGAGCCACGTAACCACGAAGGTACATACATACAAACATGTTTATGACTAAGATATTTAGCTTCTGAAAAAAAGGCTTTTTTTTTAAATTTTATATTTGATAATAATGAATTGCAGTGGAGGCTTTAATGAGCATAAGAGAAGGTTTGAGTGATCCACACGGTGTGTTGAGTAACTGGGATGAGTACTCTGTTGATGCTTGTAGTTGGGCTATGATTACTTGTTCTTCTGATTCACTTGTTATTGGATTGTTAGTTCTTCTTCTCTTCTCTTATTTATACTATTGTTTCTGCATTTTCCTTATTCATTCTTTGTGTTCAGGGGAGCTCCCAGTCAATCTCTCTCTGGAACTTTGTCTCCAGCAATTGCTAATCTCACCAATCTTCGACAAGTGTAACATGCCTTCAACTATTATTCTATTATTCATCTTCTTTTTTTATAACGGGTTCCAAAGTTGTATAATCTTTATAATTTCCTTATGTTGGTTGAATGCAGGTTACTGCAGAATAACAATATCTCAGGCAAAATTCCACAGGAACTTGGAACCCTTCCCAAGCTTCAGACCTTGGATCTTTCTAATAACCGTTTCTCAGGAGCCATTCCTGCATCTTTGAGTCAGTTGAATACTCTTCAGTACCTGTGAGTAACTTTTTCCCCTCCCTATTTCCTTTTCTTTCCCTGTTAAGAAAGTGCGGGTAAAATGAATTTTAAGTAGAGTTTTGCTTCATTCAAATCATGTTATATTAAATATGTAAAATAATACAGTATTTTTGTTTGTCTGCTATTGAGAGCAGGAGGCTCAATAACAATAGCTTGTCTGGACCGTTTCCTGTGTCACTTGCTAAAAATACACAGCTTACTTTCTTGTGAGTATGGTTATATCAATTCTCACCTTCTTTGTCTTTAAGTCTTAAAGTGATAACCTGCCACTTGTTTAATTTTTCCTTTTTTGATATGTTTACTCTATGTACTCAGGGACTTGTCTTATAACAATCTTAAGGGACCATTGCCCAAGTTTCCAGCCAAGTCTTTCAAGTATGGTGTCTCTTTCATTTTGTTTGTAGTATTTTATTTATAATTGAGTGAATACATGCCTTGTTCCTTAAAAAATTCTGTGTCTATCAATTTGATCCCTATAAAGAATTCAAAATAGTTTCAAAAGATCGCAAATGTGAGCTAAAATGGTCCTTGACAGAGACTACCAAACGTTTGTCATAAAAGAATGCTTAAAAGTACAAATTTGATGTCTTTGGGGTCATTTTGAGTTTTCCAAATTTTCTGCTACCAAAATGGTGCATGAATTTGTTTTGAGGTACCAAAATGAGTGTTTACTCTTTATAATATTTTAAAGTATATTTCTGTTAATATTTTTAAGTATACATAACTGTTTCAACTGTGGTTTTGTCTTGATTCTCTTTTATTTGTGTAGTATTGCGGGGAACCCATTAATTTGTGGAAGCATCCCTATTGAAGGTTGCTCTGGAACAGTAACCTTCATGCCTGTTCCCTTTGCTCAAGCATTATCACAAGGTATGTCCTTTTGCCTTCAACGGTTCCTCTTATTATCTTTAAATTTAACAATGTTTGTAATCTATATTGCATTTTAATTTGTAGGGAAACAGAAGTCCAAAAAACTAGCAATTGCACTTGGAGCCAGCCTTAGTTGCGCTTCTATCATTTTTCTCTTTTTTGGACTCATTTGGCATAG